TTCTAAAATTTGTTTTAGCTATATTTATTACATTAAATATTAGTAATACTATTATATCTTTTATGATTATTTATCCTGAACTCCAAAACAATACCTCACACTCTAATAAACTCAAACTTCTTCAATCTAGAGAAGTCCATCCAAATCAGGGTTCTCTGATAAATTTTAATCGCATCTCAAAAAAAACGAAAATAACGAAAATATTATTCAGTTCAGTTCAATTCTTTTTCTGAGCGTTTTGTCGCCTCTATCGACCAGCTCATGATGTACTCTTTTTCGATTAACTAGTCTCAAATTTATTAATTCCGCTTTTCTTTCAATGTTTGTCCAGGTTGTTCTTGAAAGCGTTCAAGGTCTTCGAGTCAATTACTTCTCCTGGCAACATGTTACAATCTGTAGCTGATCTAATGATAAAAATGTTTTTACGCAATTCAAAGTTGGCCTTCTTCGTTATCCCTTTTTTGTTATTTGTCCTTGTGTCACGACTTTTCAATTCGAACATGTTTTTTGTAGCTTTTGGGTCATAACGGTTGTAACCTATTTTGAACATTTCGATCATTGTTCCTCGACTTCTGCGGTATTCAAGTGACGGTAGTTCTAGTTTCTTTAACCTTTCATTGTAGCTTAGTGTATGCAGCCCTTTTACCATTCGTGTCGCTCGTCGTTGTACATTTTCGGTTAATCTTGTGTCCTTCTTTAATCGCCGGTACCAGGTTTGATTACATAACTCCAAATGAGGCCTTATGAGGCCTTTATAAACATTTAAAAATACAGGTATAGTGATATGGTATAACTTTTGCAAAGATATGGGAGTCAAAGGAGAGTTTACTATCGATGATCACTCCAAGGTCTTTTTCTTCTCCTACGGTTTCAAGCTGTTTATCGTAAAAATCATATGATCTTGTTTCACGATTTGATCCTCCATTTGAGATTATCATATGTACACCTTTATTTTCATTAAAATGCAAAAAATTTACTTTTTGACCATTCTTCCATTTTCTTATCCATTGATCTTCTTGCAGCAACTCAACGTCTTTGTTACTGGTAATTTCTCTGTATAGTTTTGCATCGTCTGCAAATGAATACAGTTTTGATTTGACTGTGTTTGGAATTGAATTTATATATACTACAAACAAAACAGGTCCCAGTACAGATCATTGGGGAATCCCACTCAGAACATCTTTTCATTCAGATCAACTGTCGCTTATCACAACTCTTTGTCGTCTTGTTAATGAAAACCCGTTGATCCAACCCAGTGTTTTTCCTTTTATTCCATTTTGTTTTAGGATTTCTATCAGTCTTTTGTGCGGAACCGAGTCCAACGCTTTCTTGAAATCCAAGTAGATAACATCCGTTTCTCGTCGACTATCTATTGTTTTTGTAAAATCAACCAGCACTCTCAGTAGTTGTAATTGTGATGATATACCGGGCAGAAAACCAAACTGTTCATTTACAAGGATTTCTTTTTTTTAGATGTTCCATAAGATGTGCTCTAATTAATTTCTCAAATATTTAACAAACTATTGATGTTAAGCTTACTGGACGATAATTGTCAGCTAACGACTTTTTCCCCTTTTTTGAAGATAGAGGAAATGTGAGCAAGTTTCCGGTCTTGAGGAGCTTCGTTTCGTCCCAAGATTTGTAGAAAGTTTTTTTTTAGAACTGGACTCAGGAAATCTCTCATTTCAAACAGAAGTTTCGGGTGAATTTCGTCGGGCCATGGAGATTTCGATGTTTTGAGTGAGTCTAGTTGCTCTTTCAATAATTGCTCTGTTAATTCTTAGTCCTCTGTTAGATGGGTGATATCCAATTCTGGAATCTTCCATTCTCCTGGTGGTTCGTGTAAGAAGACTGATGAGAAGAACTTTGACAAAACTTCAATTTTTTCGATTTCATTCGTCGTTAAAGATCCATCATCCTGCACTAAAGCTGGTATTGCATTTTGTAACACGGTTTTCTGCCCCACACAGTTCCAGAACTTTTTTGGTTTCATTTTTACATCCTTAGCTATTTCACTTTCCTTTGCCTTTTGATCATTTCGAATAGCTGTCTTAATAGTATTTCTTTTTTCTTTATAGTTCTCAAAATTTACTTTTTTTCTATTGCAGCAAAACTTTTTCCAGTATTTCTTTTTTGCTCTGATTGCCTGTCGAGTGATATTGGTGAATAGTAAGCTGTTTCTACACTCTGGATTGAGCCTAGTTAATGGTACAAACTTTTTTGTTAGTTCAATCAGGAGTTCGCGCAAATCCGTCCAAAGTTTTTCAACATTGTCTTCACTGTCAAGAAACGACAAATTTTTTACTTCATCTCTCATTGGGTCGTAGTCTCTTTTAGTGAAGCTGTATCTAATTATGGTCTTACTAATTTTGCGTTGCGCGAGTAACTCCACTTCTATGAGAATGTGGTCGCTCTGTCCCAGAGGTGGTTGGATATTAGTGTTTAGGTGGCTTAGACCGGCATCAATTAAAACTATATCTAGTAGTGATGGTTTATCTCCGGCAGTAATGCGAGTTGGTCCATCGATGTGTTGGGTCAGAAATGCATCCCTAATTGCTTATAGAAATTTGAATTCTTTGCTCTCCTCGTTCTCGGTTGTACTGCAATCATCACAGTTGATTGAAGGAAAGTTTGTGTCGCCCAATATTACAGTATAATCCTTCACATCTTTTTCGCATAGTTCTTTGATTGATTGGCAAAGGCAGTCGTTATTCATTTCTGGTGAATTTGGGCTCCGGTAGACAACTGCCAAGCGGATGAATTTCCGATCCATAGCAATGTCACAAATCATCATTTCTTGTAACTCGTTCGGGTTTTGTTTAATGCAAAAGTCTATATCTTTAATTATGAAAATTAAAATTTCTCGCCTGCAATCGTTTGGATTCATGTTTACTGACTCAATGTTATAGTTGTTAATTTTGTACCAAACTGTATTCCACTCGGTTTTGGACTTTTTCGGTTTTGCTTCTACTACAGCAATTACATCTGGTGGGTTCTTTTTATCTTCAATGAATTTGATTAATTCCTGATGTTTTGTTTGTGTTAGAGTGGCAATATTTTTGTACTAGGGGTTTAACTTTCTGGTCGTGCTTTCTTCTTGACTTTTAGTATATGCGTTCCTCGAACCAGATATACATAGTTTACTTCTTCCTGATCGTTCAAGTTTTTTTGCTTTCGTAACTAGGTTTCGCACTTCTTCTCTTTGTTTCAAACATCGATGCGGGCTAATTCTGAGATTTCTGATTTCTGCAAAGGGTTTTTTCAACTTTGGCAACTTTCGGTTTATTGCACTAATATCTTGTTCAGTATTGAAGGAAACTAGCTGTATTGAATGGTCTTTTTATATCCTCATCGGTTTTCCGACCGAGTCGGATCGTTTTCACAATTTATTAATCTTCTTTTCGATAATTGATAAAAAATTTTCAACTATTTTGTTATCTTCTTTTTTCCTTGATTCACTGTCAGTAGCTGCACTCTCCTTGGCTTTTTAGATCACAATGTTCTTTTTTTTTCGGTTTGCTTCAGCTTCTTCTCTCTTTTGTTCTTCTGTTGCTTCTAAGATGATCTCTTTCAAAGGTTTCACTTTCCAATTTATCACTTCTTTCCAGACTCCTGTCTTTTAATCAACCTTTCCGTGAGATGGTCCTGCTATGAATTTATAGAGATCATTCATCATATGTTCATGTTATCCATAGTTGTGTCGAGATCTGCTCTTAACTTTTTGGTCGATTGATCGGTTCCACTTCCCTGTTCTTTGCTGATAATTTGCTTCACAGTTGGACAGCAAGCTGTGCAACACCAGATTACAGTAGTTTGGCTCATTTACTGATAGGCTGCGTCAGGCGTTTTAAGGCATTTTGCACAGTTGTGTTCAAGGTAACACTCACACTCGATGACTTTGTCTAGGGGGTTTTTATATATTTCCTGGCAAATTTTGCATTCCCAAGGCTCAAAGGGATCACTCACTGATATTGTGCCTTTATGGCAATTTTTGGGGAAAATTTTTGATGACCTCACTCTCTACTGGATTTGTCGCTCCAAGAGAACGAAACCTCAGGAGCTACAAAGCAAGAAAAAAAATGAAGTTTCTTAGAATCACTTCCCTCCTACTTCGCCGCTCCAAGATAATTAAACCTCAAAAGCTACAAAAGCAATAAAGAACTGAGTACTCTTGACCACGTTAATCAATACAATTCTCTCAGCTCACTCCGCCGCTCCAAGATAATTAAACATCAAAAGCTACAGAGCAAGTTAAAAGAAAAGCGATAGATTTTACCTGGGTATTTTACTGCTTCTTGTTCTTCGGTTTCCTTTTTGATTTTCGTTTTATAGTTTTCGACCTTTTCTTTAAGACTAGTTTACGAAGATTTCGCTTGCTTCGTTAAACAGTCCGCAGGAGTTGTAGTTCCAGTACTAAACTTCCTTTATTCTTCCTTTCTGGTATCAAGTGTTTGCGAACGTTGATTATCGTAAGGTTCTCAGTTTTTAACTCTAGTAGTCGGCAAAAATCCCTGTACTTCCTCTTCGACGGGCGTACAAAAATGCACTGATTAGATGTTTGAATGGCTCGATGATTTCGAGGAGTTCTTCAGCTGTGCACGGTTCGTCGTAGCTGCTATGATGAGCGTTGATGGTATTACTAATAACGTCGTGCCAGATGACAAGATTGCTTTTATTCCTCAGTGATCCTCGTACAAGCAGCTTTTGCAGACTTTTCAGGGGGTTTCTGTTATTTCGGTGGAATCCTATCCCACTGACAGTAAAGTATTTTCCTGCGAGTCGTTTTTGAGTGGGATGTTTTGCAACTTTGATTGCTTGATCTAATGATGAAGCTCCGATAACAAACAAATACCATAGATTGAGGGATAAACCTTCACCCGCCCTATGCTAGAGGCGGGAGGACTTTGGACAAATTTTCGTATTCGTAAATTTAATTAATCAAATTTTCATGCCTCTAGCTCAAATCATCTGAAAACACACGGTTTGAACAAAAGAAAAGGACATCTATTTAATAAACTTATCACAACAATTTTTCATCTAAATTGCAGAAGTTTAGCCATGAAAAGTTCAGGCCTTAAATTACTTGTGAAAACGAATGATCATAAAGTTTTGTTCGTTTTTTCGGAAACGCGGCTAAATGACTCAAGCGATTAAAAATTATGGGCTCTAGATACTGAGAAGTTTGTATCATTTAGATGTGATAGATCAGTCGAAGCCATCAGGCAAACAAAAAGAGGCGGCGTCACGCTTTTAGTGCCCAAAAAACCTTACCTCAAAAATACGCGAAGAATTAATTCTTATGCAAAAAGAGTTTGATAGTTTTTGGATTGACTTTGAAAATTCATCCAATAGAAACGAGAGAGCCACCCTTTTAAAAATAACTTACAACTCAAACAAAATAAGCAAAAATGAATTCAAAATAAAAATTGCTCAGTCGACTGACTATGCACGATCATTTAACAAAAAAATGATACTTTCAGGCGATTATAACCTAAATTATGTTAAAATCGACGATAAAGAATCACTTGACACACTTTTCCTACTAAATTTTCTCGATGGCAGATTTAAATCAAATCCTTCTGTCTCGAAATCCTTCATAGACTGCATGATCACCGACATTTTTTGGACGGCTCAACAAACAAATCAATCGTATTTACACCCCATTAAAATAGGTCACTTGGCAAATGTTTTCAAAACCAAACTTAAGGTATCCGGGAAAAAACTCCTCTCAAGCAAAAAATACATAACAAAGAACCACTCAGAAAAATTGTTCAAATCAAATCTGAAACAAAAATATAAATGTGAAAACTTCTACCAGCAAAGAAACCGACAAGCAGTGATCATCATATTCAGTTGAAATATAAATGAAAAAAATTAAAACATGTGCTCTACAAAAGGTTATCTTTTTAAGTCATAATAAACCAAAAGTCAACTTACAAGACAATAGTTTCAAATCGCAATTATTGAATTCAAAAAGAACCGAACGTGAAAAACGGAATATTTTTAACAACACAAAGACTCCAAAAAAGTATCCAACCTTATTTTTCTGCCACAAGTTTTTCTTTGGAGAGATCATAAAAAATAACTTCAAAATAGCAAACTTTCCTAAGTATAACCTTTCAACACTAGGCTGTTTCTATGAAAAAGACAACAAGAGCTGTCTTACTGAAGAACCACATCAAAACGAACCCAAAAACTTGACTCCATTTTTGTTCAGCTTACAACTTTCGTAGAGTGAAAAGAAAACTTCTCAAACTCAATGCAAAAAAGCCGCAAGGACCAAGTGACATTCCATTATGGGCCCATAAAGATGGTTGCAAGGTAATCTACACGCATCTTACTTGTCTTTCTAATGAATAATTGAAAATTGAAATTTATTTACTCGCAAGCTAAGATGATCCTGAAGTGCCTGAAAACTAGAGCATAATCAAAGCGTTTGAAAAATCGTTCTTAAAACAAACTATTGAATAACTTTCACCTCAAAACATTTTTGATTTGACTGGCCAACACTCATACTGGCTTTAGAACATCTTATTCAACAACTGATGCTTTTTTTTTCTTGCACGGAACCATTCAAAAAATCAAATGATAAAAACCAATATTATTGCATGCTCTTCATTAGCACTCTTGAAGTCATTTGAGCAGAACCAATAAAAAAATTTAGGTAATTAAATTTTTCAGATCCTGCTATAGATTTAGAAAAAACTTTAATAAGCGACCGATGCCAGAAAACAACACTAAATAACACTGAAGCTGGTTGGATCTCACTTCATGAAGGTGTTCTTCAAGGCACTGTCTTAGGACTTCTCATTTTCAACCTCTACATTAACGATCTTAGCAAGCAACTGACTAACTCATGCAACGTAGTTCAATATGCAGATGAAATAATTCTTTTCTGTGAGGATAAAAGCATTAACACTTCGCTGAAAATGCTTCAAAGTTTTGTGTTTATCACAGTACTTTTAGAGACATCTACTGCAACCTAGTGAGAAAAAAAATCAGAATTTATAAAATTTTGTAGAAAAAAAACCTGTAAGAAAAGAAGATCAAAAAGACAAAAATGCTTTTGTTAAAAGCTATAGATTTTGTAAAAGATTTGCTTTAGATTTGGTAAAAGTTTTTATAAGCGACCGATGCCAGAAAACAATAATAAAAAACTGAAGCGGACTGGATCTCACTTTATCAAGGTGTCCCTCAAGGCACTGTTTTAGGACCTCTCATTTTCAATCTGTACATTAACGATCTTAGCAAGCAACTGACCAACTCATGCAAAGTAGTTCAATATGCAGATGAAATAATTCTTTTCTGTGAATATAAAAGCATTAACACTTCGCTGAAAGTGCTTCAAAATTTTTTGTTTATCACAGTACTTTTAGAGACATCTACTGCAACCTAGTGAGAAAAAAAATCAGAATTTATAAAATTTTGTAGAAAAAAACCTGTAAGAAAAGAAGATCAAAAAGACAAAAATGCTTTTGTTAAAAGCTATAGATTTTGTAAAAGATTTGCTTTAGACTTGGTAGAAGTTTTTATAAGCGACCGATGCCAGAAAACAATAATAAAAAACTGAAGCGGACTGGATCTCACTTTATCAAGGTGTCCCTCAAGGCACTGTTTTAGGACCTCTCATTTTCAATCTGAACGTTAACGATCTTAGCAAGCAACTGACCAATTCATGCAAAGTAGTTCAATATGCAGATGACACAATTCTTTTCTGTGAGGGTTAAAAAATTCGAAATTCACTAAAAGAGTTTCGAATTTTTTTTTATCACAGTACTTTTGGAGACCTCTTACTTCAACTTAATGATAAAAAAGCAGAGTTTAAACTCTTTAGTATAAAAGAACACGTTAGAAAAGAAGATCAAAAAAACAAAACTGCACTGGACAAAAAATAATGGTAAAAAAATCAATGCGAAATATCTCGGAGTAGTATTAGACCAAAATTGGACATTTCAAGACGAATTGAAAAAGATTCCAAGAAAATGGGCCTGCGGGAATAAAACCGTACCGTTGATCAAAGAACCCCGTCCTATCGAAACAGGAATACTACAAATGATTGCACTCGTTGTCAATCACCTAAGCTATCCTGCTATGCTTCTAAATGAGAATTCAACAAGTTTGACAACCTCATTAGAAGAACAACTTCGCTGGGCAATTAAAACTTTTCTATAATCGTGTGAAGTTCGATTCATCATCTGATCTTAAACTAAAACACAGTGTATCACCAGTAACAATGTTTCTGAAAAGTTTGCTTGATTTTGAGAAAATAACACCTTTTAATACCAACTTACAAAAAAATCGAGAGAAAACAATCACAAAAACATGAACAGAAAGCATAAAATATTATATGTTTTGTCAAAAAATTTAAAAGGGCAATACATCGAAAACTCTTTTTTTTAAAAATCAGTATTAATTTGGAATACTTTAGAAGAAGACCATTTCAACTATAAGAAAATTCTTACAGACAGAAAAGCGGAAAAAAATTTCAAGAATTAATTTTTCTATTATTTAAAGAAGATCCGACATTGGCAACCTATGGAAAAATTTCATGGTGACTTTTCAGACTTCTTTAAGGAAAGTTCGTAGGAGTGGGATACTATCATTAAATAAGGAAAAATTTTATCGCTAAAATTGATTAAATATAACAAAAATTTTCATCACCATTTGAATTACACTTGCACATTTGAAAAAATTTTCAATTCACAAAAAAATTGTTTGTTTTTATCTGATCTGCTTACGGGCCGACCATCATATTAAAATTTTAAGGCCATCAGAGTTCCAAATTTTAATCAGCTTCCATTTACAAGCAAAAAAAATCTCGTGGTTGGATCTCGGATCCCCAGACAATAAGATTACTGCTAAAAACACGGCTAGAAAGGATGACCAAGGGTATTTATAGTGACAGTTATTTATTAGATTCATTACAGCTATATAAAAACGTTCCTCGCCCCCTACTACTCATGGTCTGAAAAATAGATCAATTTTGAGTTAAACTAAAGCCTTTCAGGGCATCACAGATTCTAAAAGCAGGTTAATGTTCGCTAAACAATTTCTGGGCACAGAAACTCGGATTAAAACTCTCCCAGACAAAACGTCGTTACCTCCAAAATTTCGATGGTAGGGAGGGTTTAGAGCTGTCACGAATATCCCACTCGACCTTTAGATTCTCCTTATCGTGTCTACATCTAATGATAGAATACTTTGGCTGTGTGTTTCGTTCAATCAAAATATCTTTTCTTCTCTCTTACGAATGTTTTCAGTGTCGTATCCAGCTATTTTGTTTTTTTTGTAACGTTGTATTTGGTATTTGTTATATAGAGCGTTTCTACCATTTCTGAGAATTGTTCTTGTTCTAATCGAAAACTTGATTTAATAAAACTACAGAATATTCGGACTCTCCTTTTCATCCTTAAATAATTCGTAATAAGGACTCTTAAAATTTTTTTCAGCATGCACTGGAACGTTCGGCTGTGGCATTCGGGGGAATGCCACACCTTCCGCGGACAGCCCCATCAATTTCTCACTTGTGGCAATCCAGTGTTGCACTTCAAACTTACAAATTTATCTCTATTAACTCAACTGACCACGGGTCGCAAATGGCATTGTACTACATCTTCACTGCCTTAACGAAATTTTCACAAAGTGTCCTAGATAAAATTTCTTTTCTGACTATTCCTGTCATTCAGTCATAAATGTTCTTTTCTCTCTCACTGCTGTAAAAAAAGTTTGAAACGGCCACGCATTCGTTAAAACACACCGAGTAGAAACAATTAAACTTGCCGTTGCCCTAGATTTTAAGACTAAGAGACTCTGTGGCTCGGAAAGGTATTGAGGTACCCTCCATTTTCGAGCAAGCGTACCCCAAGATTTTGCTCTGCCATCCCGGGGAATGGCATATACACCCTCGACAGCCCCATCAATGTCTTAATTGAACGCATTACTCCGGGCTATCATCAAGTTGTGATCCAGTAATGTACTGCAAACTTAAAATTTATCAACGTTAATTCAATTCACC